TCTCCATGTTTAATTATATTATTTATTTTATTTACACTAAGCTTCCTGGGGATAGCTCTTTGGAGAAATGTCATTAAGTAACCCAGATCTGCTTTAATCCCTACCCTGCAATATGCTGTCATTCTAGTTCGAATTGCTTGTGAGTGAAAACTCTCATTCATGTGGTCATAAAACCAACAGCAAAGTCCAACAGGGCAAAAGATCATCCATGTAGATTCTAGAAAGAATGCTTTAAAATTACCAACAATAGCACCCGTTCTGGCTTTTGAGCCTAGAGCCTTGTGTATGTAAAGCATTCTTAAAATTAATACTGACATCCCTGGTGCCCAAAATAAAAGTCTGATTAAAATTATGTAATCCCCTCCAAAACTCAATCTTTTGGGAAGCAGCTATATTCAACCCAGTTTAATCAAATCTACTTCTCAACAAATACAAATAAACTGTCTTCTAAAAAGTTACACAAGTACACACACGCATACACATATAACATGGCCAGCCTCATTCACTTAAAGATGAAGTAAAATTACAAACCAGAACCAGAACTTTTCAGCACAAGTAACAAATCCTAGGTCTTCTAGAGCCGAAGCACCTGGGTTCTCCCCACAAAAGTCAGGGTCATTCTGAAAGACAAAGATTGCATTTTGAGCATGTTTCACCTTCGACCCAGAACATACACTGTCATTTTAAAAATTATTTTGCCTATGAACTCTCTTCACCAATACAAACTTTCTACATCATGCTATTTTAAATGAAGAGTAAAAGAATCAAGCAAAACACACAATGTTCAGTGTGCTGTGATAAAAATATTAACTGAAAGTGGAAGCAAGGAATCACAGGGTATGCCCAGGAATAGTTCCCACTACTTTGGATGCCGTGACAGGAGGTCTTCTGAGCTCTAGAATTCTGAGACTGGCCTCAGAAAAAAGTGAAACCCTATCGCAATTAAAAAAACAAAACCAAAAATCAACCAACCAAACAAAAAACCCAGCAATTGTAACGACGTAAGTGGGCAAACAATAACTAAATATCCAGGGCCGAGGAGATGATTTTGCAGGAAGGGGCTGCTAAGCCTGATGACTGAGATTGAGCCTTGGCGCCTACAAGGATGGAGATGGAGAGAACCCACTCTCCCAAAGCTGTCCTCCGACCACCCAGATACTATGGCACATGCACACCATTCCCTGAAATAAATTCTTAAAAAGCATAAAAGTGTTCAGTTAGAATACCATACAGGGCAGCTAATGACATTCTCACTGGAGTCTCTAAATGTCTTTCAAATCAGTTTATCCAGAGTTATTTCATTTACACATGACACAACAATTCAGTAAAGGTCTAGGGGCAAGCATGTTAATACATTCTTCTTTTGTTTTGGTTTCTGAGTCAAGATCTCATTAGGTAGCCTAGGATGGCCTCACGCCCTAGTCTCCAAAGTGCTGAACTACAGGGTTGCATTACCAGGCCCAGCTGATATATTCTTAACTGGGTTTTCTCCATCTTCATACTGTGTGTGAAGTGTATGACTGCGAGAACATGAGGCACCGAGGTACAAAAAATGATGTCAGGGGCCTTTTGTATCACTGTCTACTGTGTGTGAGAGACAGGCTTTCTGACTACAACTTTAAGCTCATTGACTGGCTGCAGTGGCAGGCCATCAAGGCCTCAGGGATCATCCTGCCTAGTCACTGAGCAATGGAGTTACAGGCATGCTCAACACACAGCTCTGTATCACTCACCCACTAGGCCATCTTCCCAGCCTCCAATCCATATAGTGTTAACAATCAAAAAACCGGTTAAATTGTAAGATTAAAAATTTGATCAAGAGAGGATGTGAAAACATTTTCACAATTACTTTTAGATACAGTATCTTATTGTTCCATATATTTTGTATACAAATATACATACAATTCATGTTTATACACACGTACTAGGTATACAGCTGTTACCCCTAGCAAACAGCTAATGAGTGTCAAGAAAGTGGGTGAGAAGTATGTTAATGGTTCTATAAGGCTACCAGAGCCCCGAGGTGAACCTACTCTTTGTGGGGAAATATTAAGGAAGCCTCTAAGGTAGTAACTAGTTTTTGTATACCCTGTCAGTTTCTGGGTAGCAAAATGTTTGAATGCAGTAACACTTCATGTACTGTAAAATAAAAAATTAGAAACTTTTAGGGATTATTCTTATGGTCCAAGAAATAATTTCCAGTTTACTGTTTGTACAGCATGAAGATGAGACATCTGTAGGGTTAGGAACTGCAGAACTAGCTAGTAGGGAGCTGAGGTGGGAAAGACTTCTGGGTCTAGGAGTACCGGGCCAGTTCAGGGAACAGAGGGAAACCTGGCCTAAGGAGGGAGGAATAAACAGAAGACTGCAGAGATTTTTTTGAGTTCTCACTTCTGAAAATCTATTCCAAAGAAGAGCCAGGGTTGTCAAAACCAAGAAGCCTCAAAATTTTAGCCATTGCTATTAGTTTTAGGCATTAACATTTTGTAAAACCCAAGGCTTATCACTAGCTACCACAGAAAACGAAACAGGAAAGCTCTCACAAATCAAGGTGCATCAGCTGACAGAACGTCTCACTGGAAGTCACCCGCCTGTCATGCTGCCCATGGGCCTGCATCCAGTCCCAGCACAAGCAAAACTTTAAGGCATGATTCATCTACCCCAGATATCCATGGAATGTGCTTTATAGGCAAACTACTTCTGAGGTTCCTAATTTTTTTCTTAATAAAAAGTAACAAGATGAATACAACTGTATCTTTAAGAATAAAATCATTTAAAAAAATCATTCCGAATCCTATGAATACAGAATAAACTTTAATAATTTGGTGGAGAAACTACAAGAGATTTTTACTTTATTCATCATTAATTTTCAAATGCACAATGAAGTAAATCATAATCTCTAAAACTGAATAGTGGAAATCTGTGTGTGATTACCACCAGAGAGGATCAGAAGTACAAAACAGAATAACCACAACAAAAAACCAAAAACCTTCACTCCTAAACACTCACTAATAGGACCTTTCTCAAAAGACTTTTCAAGAGAATATTCAGATTCTGACTTAAAACCCTGAATGTTTACAAGTCCGCTTATAATAGCTGGGCAGTGACCTGGTTAGGCTGAGGCAGGGAGATCAGGTCAAGGTCATCCTTGGCTACCTGGCTACTTAAAGGCCATGGCAAGATCCAGACCAGTTTGGACTACTGAAATCTTGTCTCAAAAAAAAAGTTCAGAAAGAACACCAGGAAAGGATGAACCTAAATACCTAGAATGGCTTTATCTCTGGATTTCATTCTAGTCTAACATCAGGAAGCTATATTAAACCAACTCGTTTGAAAGCCTGAACTAACAAAACCTTCCAACAACCACTCCTATTGTACATTTTTGTGGTAGTCTACAGAAAACCTTCTCAGCACACCCACTTTCCCAATTCACAAAAATTCAATATACATTAATACTCACTCACCTGTGGTACTCTGGGTTGTCACGGAGGTGTCTGTTGTCTTCAGCATAACTCTAGAAGAACAGAAATCCTCAATGAATTGGTTACTTGCTCTAGTTTTGAACATCACCAAAAACAAGCAGTAAGAGTTAGAACAGACACGACTAGGGCACTTAGGAAAACGACCGAAATACACCTGACAGCCTTAATAAATTTGAGAAAAATGGGTCATCAATAAAAAGTTGATCCGGCTTTAGTTAAGATGTCCTTTATTGGTCAAATTTAGTGTGGTTAACATTTTAGCATACAAGCTATTACTAGTAATCCCAACAGTTAAATTTTTTTTCTCATTTAACCAGACAAGGTGCTGACGAATAAGCCCACGTCTGTCGGGTCGGGAGAATCCTTTCATCTAAGAAAATTTCGGTCCTTCCAGAACCACTATTACTCAAAAAAACACAAACAAACAAAAAACACCCCAAACCAAAAACCCATAGCACTGGGCTCATGACAAGAGGCGCGTGTCGCAGCAGCAGCGTCTGTCCTGGCAGGTACATTCCTCAGCATTCCAAAAGCCAGAGCTTCCACGTTTCCTCATAGTTTCAGAGTTGGAGGAAATACCTTTACCCCCCACGCAGGACGTTTCTAGAAACCACACCTCCTCAGGGAGGCAGCCCTTGGGCCCCTGGTGACTAAAGACCGCGTGCCAGTTTTCAAACACATTTCAAAGGGAGGAAAAGCTTGTTCCGGGGGACGATGCCGGTCAACTTCGCCACCCGGAAAAACGGGGCGCAAAGGATCGGCTCAGAAAGCCACACGTGTGCCCCCGGCCTCGCCCCCTTCCTCCACCCCCCATCCCCGCCGCACCGCCGGACAGATGCTCCCATGGCTGCCCTCATTTCCGGTGCTCCCGGAGCTGCGCCACCCCCGAGGCCACCGGACACCCTGGAACCTTCAACAGACCTTTCGGAGGGCTCCGCGGCTCCATCACGCTTCGCTAGGCGTTGTTCTGGAGCGAATGGTAAGCTGGGGCCGTAGAGACACAAACCTACCGGACGGAGTCCGCTTCCTCGCCTCCAGACACAGAAAATGGGATAGAGCTGCGGCCGCTGCTGCCGGGACAAAATGGCGCCGGGAAACCGGCTAAGCGCAGGCGCCTAGGGAAGACCCGGCTCCGCCCCCGAGCTAAGCCCTGGCTGCAGTTCTGGATTCCGTTTCCATGGGACACACCACCGCCCAATCCTCGTGCGGAACTGCTCTTCCTGACCCCTCTGTTCTCCAATCAGTGCTCAGTCAAGCACATCCGGAGTCGGTTCTTCCAATCACTTTTCCGGACTCTCTTACTCAATCCCCTTTCCTCCAATAACGTGAGCGTCCGGACCCAGCCAATCAGAAGTGGACGATGTCCTACCTGCTGTTTTCCGCACCAATCATGGAAGTTTCACAGCCATATCCAATGAGAAAGGCAGACAGCGAGCTCCAATCCGAAGCTCTTCGGCGTCATGAGCAGCCAATAGGAGTTCGTGTAGAAGCGAGTCTGCTCAACAGCTTGTTATTTGGTGGATTGTGGCAGTAAATCGGGGCGAGTGGGGAACCCGGCGCAGGAACTGCCGCTGCGGCCGGGAGCGGTGCTTCCCGGACGGGGGCCCACGGCGGTCGGTAGGGCGGCGAACTGGAGAGCTGACAGCGCGCTGCACTCGCAGTAGGTGGGTGGGCAACGGGGCAGCGGGGGCCGCTGAATGGGCGAAGCGGCGGGAGCAGCTGCTGCCGTGATGGGGTCCCGGTGCAGTTGGGAGCTCCGCAGGCGGGGAGGGGGATGCAGGGCGGGCCGTGCCCGGAGTACCGGGCAGCGATCGGGTTCGGGAGCCGAGGCGGCAACTGCGGACACCGCCGCCTCGGTCGCCTCCCCGGGAAAATGGCTGTGGGGCTGGCCGCGCCGCTAAGTTTGCTCCAGGAGGAGCGGGCTGCCGGGGGGAACCGGCCCCCCAACTCCGCTGCGTGTCCTCGGCGGGGAACCGCGGCAGGACCGCGGGGGCTCGGGGCCCGCGCCTCTCCCGGGCTCTACAAAAAAGTTGAGGCGGGCACGGGAGGAGGCGGCCGCTGCGGCGGTGCGGCTCGCTCCCCTCCCACACCCTGTCCGGCCGCCTCCCCGCCCCGCGCCTCCCCCGCCGGGTCCCCCCGCGCTGGCCGCCGCACGCAGGCCGCCGCCTCTGCCCCCCGGGTGAAGGAGCGCTTCTCCTTCCTGACATGGTGCAGCGCGGAGGCAGGAGAGCAATGGCGCCGTGACACTCCGTTGCCGCCGCCGCGGGCCGGGCCGGGCCGGGCCGGGGCGGGCCAAGGGGGCCGAGCGGCGGAGGCGGGGCGCGCGCTAGAGTCGGGGCCCGGCGGGGCGCGGACTCGCGAGGCCGGGACGCGGGGTTCCGAGTGGTCGGCGAGGCGGGGGCGCAGTGGGCTGTCCGGCGGCTCAGGGGCGGGACACGCTGCCCTTTCGCGCGCGTGGGGCTCTGCTCCCTGCCTGCTGCGCAGCGGCCGCCCGACGGGGGTCTGCCTCCGGGCCGCGGTGCTGGGCCCCTCCCCGCCGGCATTTGTTTACTTTCTTTCCCTGTCGCACCCCGCCTTGGACTTATCCTTTGCCTCTCTTTCGCCTGCCTGGGCTCTAGGGACCGGGAAGAGAACTCGTGGAAGCTGGAACCCCACAGGTCACCAGTCAAGATGAAGGTAAGTGGAGCCAACTCTTCGCAGCCGTGTGCCCTGGATGATATCAGTCGCGAGGCGGCTGTTGTGGAATGGCAGCTTTTTGTAAACTCGAAATTGATTTCTTTACTAAGCAGCACTTTCAGGAAAATGACGTGTGAATGGGTGGTGTGTGTGTGTGTGTGTGTGTGTGTGTGTGTGTGTGTGTAAATGCAGGCTGTTCAGCCCTCTCTCTCTTTAGCAGTTAGCACTTTGGAAAAGGTCGGTGCAGCCTTTTCGATTCTCAAACACTTCCTGTGTTGGCAGCACCTTTCTAGAAGTAAAGCTTTTGTCCTGCTTTGGTTTCTTGGAGTCTTTTTGTTTTGCTCTTGCTTTCTTTAAAAAAAAAAAATACTTCCCCCTTTCCACAGCCAGTGCCATTTTCTAAAAGAAATGATGTGTATTTTGAGTAAGGGAGATAGTTCTGGATATTTCTTCTTCATATAAAGTAAATTCAGGTGATGACTGTGTTTAACCTGATTAGTTCAGTTTTCATAGTTTACCTCGTAAAACATGCATTTCATGGATAATTTTTTGAAGCATCTTACAAACGTCGCTGTCTGCTTGTTTAAAGGGAAAGGAAGCTTTCCTAACATTAGGATTCTGTGGCCCTTGGCTGTTTCTGGTCAGATACTTACTTGCCAAAAAGTATTCCTCTTCAGTTTGTATTCTTTTTAAGTGGACTGACGTCTCAAAGTACATGATCTATGTTGTTCTTACCGTTCTGTGTGCATATGTATGTTACATATAGGAAATACGTAGTTGCTTTTGTCTTTATTGGAGACTGTCCTGCAGCCCAGGCTGGCATGGAACTCGTGAGCGTCCTGCCTCTCTCCAAGGGCTGGAATGACAGGCATATACAACATACCTGATTGTTAAAGTATGTTACTTTGTGAAATTCTCAAACTTTCTCTCATTCTCTTGTTTTGGAGAGACAGAACTTCCTTTATTATTGCTTGAGAAAATGAAAAATTGTTTCTGACTTAAAAATATTTGGCTAAAGAAGTCTACGTTGATTTTTTTTTGCACTTACAATTTTAATTGAATTGTATAAATACATACAGCTTTTGAAATTGATAAAATGACAGCCCAAGATAGCAGTCATCTTTTACTGTGAAGGAATTGTAAATAGAGGTTTCTCATATGTTTCAATTCTGATCATGATCGGTTTTTTCTAAGTGGGTGTTTCTTACTAAAATCTCTTTAAGTATATTGAGAAGATTAATATTGTAAACTGGGTATGGTTGTAGTCTTATAGCTATCAGTTTATAAATTCATTCATTAGTTCAATGCAGACGTAAGCCTTTCAGATTGACAACCTCCAGCCAGTGCATTTTCTGGAAGAGTTTGCTTGCTCTGTTGTCTGTAGAGATACACTGTATCAAAAGATACTGCCTTAGCCAGGCTTGGTGGCCCTGGCTTGTCCCCAGATTTAGGAGTTAGAGACAGCCTGCTCCTTGTCTCAAAAGCAAGCAAAAGAAGATGTCGCATTCATGAAGTTGTCTCATTGAATGTTTATGTGTTTGTTAATATTAATTTTATAGCAATATTTCTTTTAAAACAGAATTACCTGAAGGCCCCAAATTAATAAAATTTATGAGACCATTAATATAAATACATTCCTTCTGTTTTCTTATCTTTCTGTTTCCTATATATTAAATTGTAACATTTTGCAAAACATCTTATATCTGAAAAAAATCATTTTTTTTCCTACCAAAAAAATGTTTCCAAGTGCAACTTTAAACATTTTACAGCATCTGGAAATGAATATATAAAATGAAATAGTGTTAATAAGGTGTCTGCTTTAGGAGTATTCCCTGAATTACCACTGTTAATATGCAAGTAATTTTAATGTTCCAGTGACTTTAAATGTAGACCCTTTGATGCTGTTGGTGGATGGGATAGGGGAGAACAGTAGTGACATCAGGATTTCCATTCTTTCCTCAGGCGGCAGATGAGCCTGCCTACCTGACAGTGGGAACTGACGTCAGTGCCAAGTACCGAGGAGCCTTCTGTGAGGCGAAGATCAAGACTGTGAAAAGGCTGGTGAAAGTCAAGGTACAACGCTGCAGACTCTTGAGACAGCCAAGACTTTCGTTGTTGTTGTCCCTAGAAAATAGACAGGTTTATTTGGGGTGCTGCGAGTGACAGAAGGCTGGGCTCCTGTCGAGAGTCACTCCTATCATGCAGCAGTTTCTTTAAGGACATTGAAGAGATTGCCAGGGAGAGATTGCAGTTTATCAGCCTTTCTGTGGAGTCAGTGCTGCAAGCAAGCGCCATTATATACTGAACTTACAAAGTGTATTGAGAATTGAAAAATAAAGGGCTCAAACTGAGAATTGATTCCAGAATATCAAAACACAAGCTGTGTTGTCTGAGTTGTTCCTGTTCGTGGTGATGCACTTATGCATTGCTCTCTCCTTGTTCCTAATCAGTGACAGTTTCAGTGATTAGGAAGAACAGTGTAGTAAAATTATGTTTTCAAGATAATGTTCAAAATAATTCCAGGAGTTGAGGTTGTGTGTCTGTCTGTCTGTGCCATTTTCAGACAAATTCTGGTGATCATCTTGCCTTTGCCTCCTGAATACTAATGACCACGATGAGCCACTATGCCTGGCCAGAAGGTTGATATGTATTCCTCTATAGAATTTGGAAATACAGAAGGAAATGTAGAGAAGGACAGGTGAATAAATACCTGTAATTTTTCAGAAATCTGTTAACATATTTTGTTTTTCTGTAGAAAATTTTCCAATCTATATTTTTTACTTTCTTGAGGTGGGGTCTTAGGTAGCCCAGAATGACCTCAAACTCCCTAAGTACCTGGGAATTACTTTGAACTTGATCCTCTTGCTTCCACCCTCAAGAATTAGAGGCATAAGGCACCACACCTGGTTTTTATGGTGCCGAGAATAGAACTCACATCCTCACTCATGCCAAGCTACCTTTACCACCTGAGCAACATCCCCATTCTGTGGTTCTCAGTGCCCTTCTAATGGAAATCCAAGAATATCTGTGTGTATATAAGTATTTTCAGCATTCTAGAGCCATAAAATATAGTTTAAGAAAGTCCTTGCTAGCACTCCAAATATTTTATTTTATTTCTTAAAGATTTATTTCTTATGTATAAAGTGTTCTGCCTGCATGCCAGAGGAGGGCACCAAATCTCATTAGGTGGTTGTGAACTACCATGTGGTTGCTGGGAATTGAACTCAGGACCTCTGGAAGAGCAGCTGGAGTTCTTAACCTCTGAGCCATCTCTCCAGCCCCCAAATATTTTCTGTAGGCTTCCATATTCTGTTGTAACTGTCATAACATTATTGTTACTATTGCTGTATCATGTATTACAGTTTGTTCTATGCCTTATTCAGTAACATCTCTGCTTTCTTATCAGAGTTAAATACCATAAGAAGCAGAAGACATCTGAAGAGTTTCTGCTCTTGATTCTTACAGTAGTACTCCTTATCTTGTGATCACTCAGTTTGTTGAGTGTGTGAGTGAATGAATGGATGAACGAATGAGTGAGCTAGAACATTGATTCTCCAATCATGGCTCCTAGCGCTGGAGCATTAGTCCTCCTAGGAACTCGTTCACGATGCAGATTCTCAGGACTGATCTCAAAGCTTCTGATTGGAACCATCTGCGGGTAGTTTCTGCCCAACCTTAAGGGTTGGGAACGTGACTGCTTCTTGCAGGCAACAGACTGAGCTATAGATCCGCTATCAAGCCAGTTCGGGTGCCATTTGATCTTTATTTCTTCTTCATTTCCTAAAGTCTTTTAACTGTGTAACCCATAAAATTGGACACTGAATATTTGAGAATCTTTGACAGTTTTAACCTTTAAAAAAATTATTGTGAATGGCTCAGTGGTTAATAGCTTTGCCTGCTCTTCCAAAGGTCCTGAGTTCAATTCCCGGCAACCACATGGTGGCTCACAACCATCTGTAATAAGGTCTGGTGCCCCCTTCTGGCCTGCAGACATGCACACAAACAGACTATTGTATACATAATAAATAAATAAATATTTAAAAAAATTATTGTGGCCGGGCGGTGGTGGTGCATGCCTTTAATCCCAGCACTCGGGAGGCAGAGGCAGGCGGATCTCTGTGAGGTCGAGACCAGCCTGGTCTACAAGAGTTAGTTCCAGGACAGGCTCCAAAACCACAGAGAAACCCTGTCTCGAAAAAACAAAAACAACAACAACAACAAAAAATTATTGTGACTCTCAGTTTATCTGAAATAATTCAGTGATTGTTTTAGAAAGGCTCATAATACACTTGTTACCTAGAATTTGAGTTACTTGGGGAATTGCTCTGCTGTGACTTTTTTTGTATGTTTGGTAGCCATGAGGAGCAAGAGTGTTGGAAAGGAATGCTTAATAGTGACTGAATTGCTTCTAAGTATCATAAGAAGTTTGTTTTGTTTTGTTTTGTTTGTTTTTTGAGACAGGATTTTTCTATGTGTAGTTCTGGCTATCCTAGAACTCATTCTGTAGACCAGGCTGGACTCAAACTCAGAGAGATCTGCCTGCCTCTCTCAGCCTCCCATGTACTGTGATTAATACAACACAGGCCTAACCTCATAAGGCTTAAAGACCACGAGAGCTGTTTTTAAGTAGGCAATAAAAAGTGAAGGGTTTTAAAAATATTTTGTGACAATCAAAACCTTTTATGACTTGATAAAATACACTAGAAGAAGTTTTACATCTTTGTAGTATCACTGGGTTATAAATCTATAGTTTGTTCATTTGGCAAGCAGTTATTAAATGGCTGTAATATGCACTGACACTTGCTGACTACCAGGGGGATAGTAATGAAAGAGGGCTCCAGCCCTCAAGGAGCTCACAGTTAATGAGAAAGAAAATTAACATAAATACAAGACACTGTAATAACTGTTACGCCAGAGGTAACCACAGGGTATTAAGGAGGCATCTGCAGTGTTACTACAGAGGCATTGTTTAAAAAGTAACTGAGATTGTTTTGTTTTCCAGGTATTGTTGAAACAGGATAACACAACACAGTTGGTGCAAGATGACCAAGTAAAGGGTCCCTTAAGAGTACGTATGTCGAACAGTTCAGAATCAGAAATAATGAACAACAGGCAAATGCCATAGTTTTTTAAACTTTCCATTTGTACATACACTTATGTTTTTATATAAATGTTTAATCAGAAAGCGAAATACAAATGATATAATAGTGTAAATTATGATACTACAATGATTGTATCTTTTAAGAGCATCAGACATAGCTGGATAACTTATTTATTCAATTTGTTTTTGTTTTGTTTTTAGTATGGTCTCTTAGCCTAGGCTGTCCTAACACTCTGTAGCATTCTGCCTCCTGAGTGCTGAGATTGCAGGTGTATAACACTGTGCTTGGCTGACAGAGCAATTTCATACATATGTTAGGATATGCTTTCGCTTACCTTTTGGTTTGAGATCATGGACTGATTACAAACATACATATGCATATATAGTTTGTTTGTTTTGAGACAGAGTCTCACTGTGTAGCCCTGGTTAGCCTGGTACTCAGTCTGTGAAACAGACTGAACTTGAATTCACAGAGAGATCTACCTGTGGGGCTGTGCTGCATGCTCAGCTTGAATATATTTCTTTGTGTTTTTTTGTTTTGTTTTGTTTTTTACATTTTTGCAATATTTAAGACGATGCCTGTGACATGCCATATATCATAAACTTTTCTTTTGATTTACCAGATAAAATATGCTTGTTTTATTATTCAATTTAATGAATAGCTATATTGTGTTTTCCATCCATTTCTGACTGTTTATGTAGTGAACCTTTGTTATGTCAAAGGACCACTTTTGTTAATAACCTGAAATACAGAGGTCTGGAAGCTGAAAGAAGGTTAACTGGTCCTTTCCCCTTTCTCTCTCTCTCTCTCTCTCTCTCTCTCTCTCTCTCTCTCTCTCTCTGTCTCTCTAACTGAGCCCTTTATCTAAAAGGTTTCTAGATATAAGTGTTGAATTCCATACTCAATATTTTGGTGAAAGAAAATAAAGTATTTTTATTGTCTTATGATTTGACATTTGTTATAGTTAAGCTTATTGAAGATTATCCAATATGATAAACAAACTCTGAAGTAAGATTTTTAGTCAGGATTTGAATCCTAGGTTCTGAAAATTATCTTTTTAATTTCTAAAATACAAGCATCAAGTCTCTTATTTACGCCAAAGAATTTGGCTCAGATTACATAATAAAGATATGAGTATCCTAACTGTTAATTCTCCTTTATTCTAGCTTATGCGCTTATCAAAAGCTTCTTACTCATGTAGTTGGTGGGAATGGTTTGATCTGTGTGTTTAAATCTTGTAAGAAAATTTGGGTTTCCTGTTTTAGGTCGGAGCTATTGTTGAAACAAGGACATCTGATGGATCCTTCCAGGAAGCTATTATCAGCAAGTTGACAGATGCTAGTTGGTATACCGTGGGTAAGTAGTAACTTTTCACATGGCGTTCACTGGAGGCGTGCATACCTCTTCCTTATACATACACTGATATGTGTGTTGGCAGAGAGCGCGCATGCTTTCCCGTGAACTTACTGCATATAGCTAGCTAAAATTGTAGTGATGTTCAGCTGGGGACACTTAGATAGCTTGGGCATTTATACTTTTTATCTAAGAATACTTCTGTTGTGGCCTACTTGAACATTATACCTTCCAGAAAGTCTGATGTTTTTCATTCCATGAGACAGTATTATAGTGTTATTTCTGTAATTGTTGTCAGGACTAAACAGAAGTCACTGCCACATGTCACACTGAAGATGATGTAGGTGTTAGAGCAGAATGTGAAGGTGTAACGAGGTCTGCTAGACAGTTGTGCCTAGTGCTCATAGCCTCATGTTTGATCTGTACAGTGGATTCTCCTACTGTTAATGTGAGTTCATTTATCTGTCTGTGTGTAAACTTTTGTTGGCTTTACAAAACGTTAGTGAGGGGATGACAAGGAGACTAGATAGTTAAGAGCACAGGCTACTCTTCCAGAGGTCCCAAGTTTAATTCCCAGCACCCGCATGGCAGCTCACAGTTGTCTTTGGATCTGATGCGCTCTTCTGAGGTGCAGGTGTATATGCAAACAAAGCACAGAACATTAAAATAATTTAGTGAGCCGGAAGTGGTAGCTAATGGCCAGAGTTCAGAAGCTGGGCCAGATGGGTTTTTGTGATTGGAAGGCCAGCCTAGTCTACATAGTGAGTTTCATTCCAGGCAAGGCTCCATAGTGAGACCCTATGAGTATGATGGTTCATTCCTGTAATCCCAGCATTCAAGAGGCAAGAAGATCTGGATTTGGAGGCAGTCCTTGGATACATACTGAGTTGGAAACCAACCTGGGGTACATGAGACCCTATCTCAAAACAGAACTAAAATCTTTCAGTGAGAAGCAACAGGTGTCATAATACCATGTAAACGAAAACTTAGAAGTTGCCTTGAAGTACTGAGGTTTACTGAGTGGACTAGCTAGTGGTGTTTCTAGCCTCTCAGTACTCTGGGAGTAAGCACGTAGGTGGACTGTACCCAAGATGTTTACACGAACACCCATAACCTTGCTGGTTCTTAAATTTCTAGCTTGGTGTAGTATTATAGTGTTATAGTTTCCTTACCTAGTTAGATAAATATTTTTAGTTTAATTAACTCTTTCCAAGTACTTTTTTCAAAGGTTTTAATTCTTCTTTGGCTTACCAAACATGGTGGTTCATGTACTGTAATTCTCAAGATGTTTTTCATTGCACTGAGTTGTTAGTATTTATAGATTTTTGTTTTGTTTAGGTTTGGTTATTGGTTTTTCGAGACAGGGTTTCTTTGTAGTTATGGAGCCTGTCCTGAAACTTACTCTGTAGCCGAGGTTGGCCTTGACCTCACAGAGATGCGCCTGTCTCTGCCTCTTGAGTGGTAGGATTAAATGCTTGTGTCACCACCACCCAGCGTTATTGATAGTTTTTAAGGATTTAAAAACTGCAGTTCCTACTGACTGTGAGAGATGAAGTTGATAGATCTGTGCTATCATAAACAAGGCACTAATGGAGGCTAAAGGATTGGTAGATGCAGAGTTAGTGGAAGATTATATGATAAGTTCTCAGATCCTGATCAGTCCCCTGTGGCGCTCATTGTCAAGCCTTACCTATGCTCTGCGGAATCAATTCCTGCACATTTTCACATTTCCTGCTTTTGCATTCCAGCATAACCATTGAATTATGAGTCTGTCTTCCTCTACTTGAATAGCATTTTGTCATTTCTAGAGAAGTCAGTAGTGAACATTACTGTGCTCTTCTGTGCTGGATAATTACTCCAAGCACTTAAAGCCAGCTTGCATATGTTGAGATACCAAAGCCTATCTAAGTGTATGTAAGAGTCAACTGGTTCTTATCTAAAAAATATAAAATGAGGACCCCCAGACCTAAGTTCAGCAGGTCTAGGGATAGCAATGCCAGCTTTCTTTTTATTAACACGCTGGATGATTCTGCTGCACATAGTACATGTATGGAATACATGCTATATGGGCTAGTGAGATGGCTCAGTGCGCAGAAGTGGTCCACACAGGGAAGCCTGACAGCTGAATTGGAATGATTGTCAGAACTTCTTAGGTAGTGCAAGAAAACTAACCCTTCAAAATATTCTCTCTTCCCCTGCTTGTGCTGTGGCTATACACACGCACACACACACATCCCACTAATAAATAATTTTGTAGGGCTGAGAGAATGACCTACTGCTCTACCAAAGGACCTGAGTTTAGTTCCCAGCACCTTTGTTGGGCAGCTCACAACTGGCTGTAACTACCTGTAGGGATATTGAGTGCCTCTGGTCTCCATGTGTGACTGCACTCACATGCACACATCCCTCCCACACACAGATAAATAATAAAAATAGATCATTAATAAAGTAAGTCTTACAAAGAAGTGGGAGAGGAAGGAAAAAAGAAAGAGAAAGGCAGACCATATAAGCAGAAACACTTATTTTGGGAAAAAATGAAAAATCATTGGGAGGACCTGAATCCCAGTTCAGTGATAGAGTACTGATCTACAAGGCCATGGCTTTGAGACTCTACTATAAGAACAGAGCAAAAATTATTAACTTATATGCATAAATGAGATTGCTCTGTCAGTGTTTAAGGTTTTGAAAGTCAGTATCCACTTAAGTGCACTCAGAGTACCACCCCACTGTAAATAAGGCCTTAAAGGGATGTGGCTGGGACCAATAAGAGGACAATGAGGAAATTACAATTATAAAAGATGGCTAAATAAGTGTGTGATCTCTCACAGGTCATAAACTTACTCTTTGTGTGTCAGAGTGTATTCAAAGGAGCATTTTCTACCTATTGAGTTTTATTGTTTTTTTTCCCCTCAGATTTTCTTTATTTAAATTTCTAAAAAAATATTTTAGTAGCTTAGAAAACTGCATGACTCACTTTAGAAGGCCTGTGACCTTCTTTGACCTCCAGAGATCTGATGTTACACAGAACCATTGAGAGTGAGCAGAAGATCACACCTGGCCTTCCCTTGTGATCAGATAAGGGGTTAGGGTCAGTCCTGCTATGAGGTTACCATCTTAATCCATGATAGTAGATCTGTAGTGTGATGTAGGTAATTCTCTTTTGTCATAGCTGAATAACAGGTTTGGATGAGATTATGGGGCTGGATGTGGCTCAGTGGAGAGCAATTGCTTATCAAGGCCCTGAGTTTGATCTCCAGTATTACCTCTCTGCTAGGTGGATTCTTTATATGAGGAGTTTTGTTGTTGTAATTTTGTTTTTGATTTTAGTTTTTTGGGTTGTTTTTAGTCTTAATAGCACCGTGTTTTCTTTTTTTTCCTTTCCTTTTCCATTTTTTCTTTTTTTTTCTTTCTTTTTTTTTTTTTTTTTTTTTTCCTTTTTCGAGACAGGGTTTCTCTTTTGGATAGTCCTGATGGTAGTGGAACTCACTCTGTAGACCAGGCTGGCCTCGAACTCACAGAGATCCTCTGCCTCTGCATTCTGAGTGCTGGGATTAAAGTCATGCACCACCACCACCACCTTGTTTTCTAATATTGAACTGTATGTAGTCTCAGCTCATCTGTCGATTCTCAGACTGGAGAAATGGCTCAGAGTTTAAGAGCACTGACTGCTCTTCCAGAGGACCCAAGTTCAAGTCCCAGCAACCACATGGTGGCTCACAACCATCTAGGATGAGATTTGATCCCTCTTGTAGCATGCAGGTAGAACACTGTATACTAAATAAATAAACAAATCTAAAATAAGACAAAACAAAACCAGAGTCTCATTGTGTAGTCCAGGCTGGCCTAAAACTCAAAATCCTGGTGTTTTGTTTGTTTCTGGGGAAGGTTAGAAATATTTCTCACCATCTGTGATGGCTCATGTGTAGTACTTGGGAAGCTGAAGCAGGACGCTCTCTTCCTCCCCTCCGATAGTTTCCTCTGTTTTTTTGTTATCCACAGTCCACCACCTTCTCTTTCTGCCTTCCCTTAAGCTCCCCTCTTCCCCTCTCGTCGATCTCTTTATAGTTTCATCACACATACACATGCACATTATATATATTTGGAGTCTAGGTTTCGTCCATATATAAGAGAAAAAATACAGTATTTGTCTTTCTGGCATATTTCCCTTAACATAATCACTTCTAGTTCCATCCATTTAACCTATAGATTTCATTATTTCAATTTTCTTTATGATTATGTGAAATCCTGTTGTCCGTGTACTATATTTTAGTACACCTAGGCTGTCTAATTTCCTGGCTTAAGTGACTGTTCCTCAGTGAGGATGGACCTGCCAAGTGTCTGTCTGGTGTGTTGGCTTAAATCCCTCCAGGTCACGGAGTGATACAGCTGGATCCCTGGGTAGTTCCCTTTCAGTTTCTCTGACTTCCATAGTGGCTGAACGAGTTTGTTCTCTCCACCCTCATTCTCCTCCCAGTGTCTAAAGGTCCTTCTTTCCCTGTGTGCTTGCCAGAATTTGTTAGTTTAAGATGACAGCCATTCTGACTGGGCTGAGATAGAGTCTCATAGCAGATTTAATCCACATTTCCCTGATGGCTGAGGGTACTGAATATTTTCCCAACTATTTCTTGGCTGTTTGTAGTTTTTTTCAGAACATGCTACTCAGTTCAGTAGCTCATTTATTGAATGGATGATTTGGTTTTTGCTTTTGTTTAATTTTTGCAGTTTTTTATATATTGTAGATATTAATCCCCTGTCTGGTATATAGTTGGAAAGACTTTCTTTCTTTACTAGGCTCTGTCTTCACAGTATGATACTATTCTTGGCTGTGTAGAAGCTTAACTTTATGTAAACCATCCTGATAGTTCTTAGGATTATTTCTTGTCCTGTACCTGTAAATTCAAGTGTCTGGTCTATATCTTCCTCTAGTACTTTCCAACTTTCCAGGCTTATATTGATTTATTTGTACAGTGAAAGATGAGCCAATTTTTATTCTTTGATGTAGA